TACAAATACAGGCCATTTACCATGTCTGCTTTTCAGCTTTTGCAGAGTCCCATCTTCAGAAAACTTAACCTGTATCTCAACCTGACCTCTACCATCAATTTATTATGGAGATGCCCCCGACTCAGGCCTGGGGGCTGTTCTTTCTCAACAACAGGACGCATTCCTGTGCTTTCTATTCTTGTCACTTCTCCCCAGCTGAACACAACTATGATGTGGAGGATCATGAGTTACTGGCCATAGAGGAATGGAGGCATTGGTTGTAAGGAGCTGAGCATCCCTTTATTGTATGGACTGACCATAAGATCCTGGCTTACCTCCAGTCGGACAAGTGGCTCAACGCTCGTCAAGCCAGGAAATTAAATTCTTCACACAATTTAATTTCACAATAACTTACAGGACTGTGTCCTGGGATGTCAAACCGGATGCTCTCTCCCAGCAATTCACCACCTTCGATCATCTCTCAGATGAGTCAACAGTCCAGCTTCAGTCGACTGTCCACTAAGTTCAACAAGACGAACCCAATCCTGGAAATGGTCCGTCTAGTTGGCTATCTATGTTCCGTCCTCCACTCGTTCCAAGGTAATTCATCATGCACACATCGCCGAATTCTCTTGTTACTCTGGAATCAACCAAACCATAACATTCATCCAGCACCTGTTCTGGTGGCCTATACTAATCAAGGATGTCTGTGAAAATGTGTTAGCATGCTCTCTATTTGATTTTGTCACTGGACTTATTGGTTCACATTTTGTTGCTCTGCCTAAACTCCCTTCATGCCTAGAGACTGCCAAACTCCTTACCAATCATTTATTCCAGCTTCATGGCAAACTGTTGGACATCGTTGTTGACCGGGACCCCAGTTCACCTCACACGTGTAGGCTGTGTCCTGCTCGGCCGTGGGTGCTACGGCTAGTTTATCTTCCAGGTTTCATTCCCAGACCAATGGCCAGGCAGAGCAGCCCAACCAAGAACTGATGACTGCCCTTCACTGCATCGTCGCTACTAATCAAACACTTGGAGCTCCCAGGTGTCCTGAATTGAATATGCTCACAACATTATGACCTCTTCTTCTACCTGGCTATCTCCATTTGAATCATCTCTTGGCTATCAACCTCATCTCTTCCTATCCCTCGAAGGTGAGCTCTCTGTTCCATCTGTTAAACATCATCTCCGCAGGTGCCACCGTGTCTGAAGGGCCATCCAGGCTGCTCTGCTCTGCACAAAGCAAGAGAATAAATGGTGGACTGCTAAGTCCCTGATCCTGTCTGCAGTCCTGATCAGCAAGTTTGGCTTTCTACTCATGTTATTGCCCAAAGATTTTCTCCTTTATTGGTCCTTTTGTTATTGACTCCATTATTAGGTCACGCTCTGCCCATCTTAAATTACCCCAAAACATTACAAATCCATAATGTCTTCCATGTGTCTCAGCTG